AGAGAGAGAGAGAGAGAGAGAGAAGGAGGAGAAAGAGAGAGTGGGGGGAGAGGCGTTGAAAAACTTACTTTACTTTTACTTTACTTTTATCCGCCGCTTATACCCTTCTGGGTGTCACGGGAAGAAAGAGACGTCTCTCTGCCACCAGCCGGAGAGCTTGGGTCATGGGGATGCCGTGAGTTGTTAATGTTTCCCTGACTCAATCTATCCAGGTCTTTCTCGGTCGCCCTCTAGCCTTATTGCCATCGAATTTTTTTTAATGTAGGCACGTTGTGCTGGGTGGTGTGTTGGTAATCGCAAGAGATGTCCAAACTATTTGATTCTTTGGTGTTGGATGTGATTCATGACATTATTTGTGCCCACCATTTCTCTGATTACTGTGTTTCTAATTTTGTCTCGCCTCGTCTTGTTTACTGCTTTTCTAAGGCATCGCATTTCACATGTTGTAATTCTTTGCTCTAATGTCTTGTTCGTAGTCCATGTTTGGCATTGATAGGTGAGTGTTGCGATGAATATGGTGTTGATCATTTTGAGTTTTGTTGTCATAGGGATGTTAGCATGTTTCAGTAGTGGAGCAAGCTGGTAACTTACATTATTGGCCTTCGGTACTCGTCTTTCTATTTTTCTGTTCAGTCGCCCATTCTCTGTAAATATACTTCCGAGGTACTTCAATTCTTGGACCAGTCTGAGACTGTTGTAGGTGATGTGTATCCTGAGTGGTCCTGGCTTTCTGCTTACTTTCATTGTCCCTGTTTTGTTGAGGTTGATCTTCATGTCATAGTTGTTACATTCTTCGTTTAATCTGGTGGTGTGGTGTTGGAGACTTCGTTCATCTTTGTGTGTCAGGCTTTGGTCATCAGCGAAGAGTAATTCCTTTATGGCGTCTGGTTCTGTGTTGGCATCTCTTGTAATTCTATCCTTAAATGATAAATAGTAGTGATGATAGGACACAACCTTGTCTTACTCCGAATGTTATCTCGAACAGTTCTGGGAGTCCATCCAACATTCTTACTGTACTTATGCTGTTCTCGTAAAAGGCACGGATGTTATTTGGAAGTTGGCCTCTTACAGTGTTGTTTTCGAGTTCTTTCCACAGCTTGTTTCTGTTCACTCTGTCTAGGGCTTTCTCCTGGTCGACACATACTATGTTTAGTTCCCTGTTGTGTTGTATCACCCTTTCGCACATTTGTCGTAGGGCAAATATTCTGTCGGTGCATCCTCTTCCCTTTGTAAATCCCTTTTGGGCCTCACCCAGAAAAGGTTCAACTTTGTGTCTTGTTCGCCATTCCAATATCTTGGCGAACGTCTTGCCCGGCTTAGCTGTGAAATTCCTTCCAGATTGGTACTATGACCGCTTTTTGCCAGTCGCCGGGAATGAAAACAGAATGTATTTATATGTGTGTGCGTATGTGTGTATGTGTGTGCGTATGTGTGTATGTTTGTGTGTGTGTGTGTGTGTGTGTGTGTGTGT